AAGATGTAGATAAGGAGATAAGGAGCAATCAGGGAATGGAAATCGAGCTCTTGTACATGGAGTCACGAGGGAAACAAGCTTTTATTTTTAGAAGAAATTGGAGCACAAACTAAATGCCTACTGACTCTAATGCAAAAGTGGTCAAGTTGGTAAAATCCCGAGGGGGGGCAGAATTAGTCTAGCTGTTGAGGAGAGAGGAGACATGCGATCTCTGCTGTCTGCCATGCACGTGCACCTCTGGACAGCGTCCAGATCTGCTCTGAGGCCTGTCAGTAAACCATGCATGCAATGGACATACTGTTGAGTGCAAGCTTGGGGGGAAAAGAAGCAAAAAGAAGCTTATCTTCAGTCTTTTCAAAGTTTTTGAATGAAATGATGAAATAAAAGGGCACAGAGGGAAATGGAAAGATTTTTTTCACAATGTGTCAGACAGAGCGTGGAAGCAAACACATGAAATTAAAAAAATAGTGGATCTGAATATATGTCGGTACCAGCATTTACAGAGGCCAATGAAAAAAGCTAAAAAGCACTCTATAACTTACCGACATGTTTGGAACACCACAAACACAAAAACTAGCTGATCTGAACAGAGTCAGGCAAAAATAAATAAAAAAATAAATAACAAATGTTAGGGAAATACGTTGTGTGTGCCTGAAAGGAAACTTAAAAAAAAAAAATTCAGCCAAAATATCAGACTTTTCACTAAATATTGGTGTCGGTGTCAGTATCAGTCTTTATTGGTCAGCTCTACTTTGAGCTGGGCTAAGACTCAGCTCTGTTAAAACTCTTCATGCAAATCTAACCAGAACATTTTGAGTATTTCTGCTAATAGGCAAACTGAACCAAGGTAGTAATGATGTCACTAAATGCAGCTAAAGGTATGTATTTGCAAGTTGTATGTAGTCCACTCTGTGAGCCAAAGGTTCAGACTTTGCTATACACTTTTCTACTCTTGGATATCTGTGTGGTATCACTAAAAAGGGGATGGGACTAATATGATCAGCACAGGCACACATATTTGCCTGTGAGCACAGAAGTAACACCCACCAACCTTCTGTTTAAAAGGTGCAACCAATCAGAACAAAGCTGGCCAAAAGGGAGAAGGAAGGGTCTTAACCCTTTAAGACCTACCATAGAACCAAGCCCGCCAGAGCTTATATTATATTTTTACATGCTGTAGGGCCAATTTTGGAAGCATTTCAAGTTGATATACATCAATACAACCATTATATCCCAAATTTTAATAATATGTAGAGCTGGGCGATAGAACGATAACGATACGTATCGCGATATAACTTTTACTCGATAGAGAAATTAAGCTATCGCGATAGACCTCGCCGCTCTTGTCCCCAAAAAAAAAAAAAAAAAAAAAGGCAGCCAATCCAAATTAAGTAGCGCAGAGCCGAACCAATCACAGAATTAATATTTTGTTTCTAAGTGGAATTGACAATTTAGTCTGTTTTGTTTGTTCTATTTTGAAACTTAAACGCTTTAGCGGCTGCCTTTTGTGTAGTTTGCAATATTTGCCTTTATTTATCTGAAAAAGTCTCATGTTCCTTAAGTACATCTACCCTGTTGAACTTATTATGGGAAATAAATATTTAAATAAAAACAAGCTGCTGATTATTTCACATTTTACTTGTGAGCAACGGCACATTTAAATCTTACAAATATAGTTATTTGGCTTATATCGTGATAGATATCGTTATCGCCTGAAATGAAAAAAACATATCGTGATATGAAAAAATCTCATATCGCCCAGCTCTAATAATATGTCTGCATTAAGTGCATAGTAATTACATAAATTGCAAAAAAGTGCAATAAACTACAAAAAAATTGAAAATCGTTTTTGTTTTTTTAACATATATTTGCTAGTTAGAGAAATTTAAGAGGCTTATCCCTCAAAACTGTAAATACAAAAAGTTGCACAAAATAGTTTCCCACCACAGGAAATTTATTTTGAGTGTCTTCATAGTTTTATTTTTGAAATACACCAATTTTTATATACTGCAGGAAAAACGAAAATAAATATTATAATGCAAATTTGCAAAAAAAGCAGCATGATGCATCAAAATAAACTATTTCCAGCAGTGCAATATGAGTCCTAAGCATCCCAGAAACGACACAGAAAGTCATAAAGTCAAACATAACTTTTAAAAACACCAGTATAGGCTCATAAGGCCCTGATAGTAAAAAACTACATTTCCGCAAAATGACGTCACTTCCGGTTTCGGGCAGGACATGGAGGGCACACGATAGTTCGCGCTGATGGTCGTAGGAAGTGTTACAAACAGCTGATCGGATCGGCAAAGCGTGTTTCTGGAATATTATGTTTTTGTTGCTGCAAGTGCTTTTTATGGAGTTTTTGCAAAGCTATATGTGGAAGGAAACTGTGACCTAGGGCAAGCTGATGGCATAAGATGTAAGTACAACTCCTCTGGTTTCATATGCAAAAGAAATTATTGCGCTAGCTTACGTGGTTCTGGTTCTACAGGTATTTAAAAATAGTTACGCAAAACGGAGCGTGCCCACTCCCACCGGCTTTAAAGGGTTAAAACGGCTCATTTCTGAAAAATGTGAATTGAAGGTCACCAAGGCCCAATTTAAGATTCCAACAATAAAAATATGGAGATGGGAATTACCACAATAGATAACCTTTAAGAAAGAAAAGATAAAATATTACAGCAAAATTCTACTTTATGGTCCCAATATGACATTTCTCTTCACAATTTATGTGGTCAAATCACCTTATAATATTTTTAATTTATGGCAAAAATAATTACCTTCCTCACACTCCGAATGTGAGGAAGGTAACTGGCAATACAATAATACAAGAGCAAAAAGAACAAGAGTAACTATGCTTCATGGAAAAGAAGTGATAAAAGACCAACAAGACCAAACATCATCGTCATCTGAAACAACTGCTAACTTAACCCTTCAGTTAATATCAAGAGGAAAGCAGCTTTAACATGAAATCAATACTGAATGTTTAAAATATCAGTTATTGCACAGATGAGTACATTTTAAACTATTATGTGAACCAACTTGTCTAGAAAGTCTGAATCCGCTAAACCATGCCAGAAAATTTTAAACCATGATCACAGATTTACTGAAAATCTTTGAACTGCTCAGCCTATCCACATATTAAATTTCTGATACTATATTTCAGAAACATGTGGCTAGTAAATGTTTGTGATTATTATATGACCTTTTTCCTTCAGAGAGGTGTTGTTATGTTTTATCCACTCAAAGAACCTGGTCAAGAACAGAGTTTTTCATGGCACTACTCTTGCCTCTGTGCCCTTTAAAGCAAAGTCAAATCAATAAACGTACAAATGTTTTCAACACCAAGTCACTTAAATGCACTGCAGGCTGTGTTTGCTTCTTTAATGTTGTGTAATTGATTGTTTGATTGCACTGCTTTAAAAATGTTATTGCCATAGCAGTAACAGCGTAACCTCCAGTCCTCCAGCTAAAGGACACACACACTCTCTTTGTCTCCTTTGCACCACAAATTGTACCAAAAGTACCAGCAGCAGATAAATGCTTATTGGTGCATCATTAAATCACATACGGATGCACACCCAGGAGACAAAGTGGGGCTGCTGGTGGGGGGTGGGGGGTCTGCTTGCTGCCAGTCTGCTTGCTTCAAATAGGTCAGCGGTGACTACCAAACAAAGGCCAGGGCATCAGTCACAACCGCTGCTCATTTTGCATACACACGCACACACACGCACACACACGCACACACACACACACACACACACACACACACACAGCCTACTATCCTCCCATCATACCCTAAGATGACTGTCTTTACACACAAAAACCAGATGTACATTCCCCCCATCCATCTTTATTAATCCCCCTTGGATTTCTCCAACCCATGCTGAGCAGATGTGCTGCTGCGTGGCATTTAGTGGACATCAGCATCATGCCAAACCACCTGCGTGCCCTGGGCTAGGACAAAACCTCTTCTCAATAAACTACTCCACCACTAACTAAGACATAAACACACTTCAGTTTGCTGTAATAATTAAATAAAGCTGTTACAAGTGAATTCGTTTGTGGGAATAACTGGATATTTCCTTACTACTTTAACAAGTGAAGCACCAAGCCTGCATTTTCAGAGGATGAGGATCAGCTGGAACATGACGCTAAGAGGTTTTTTCATGTCCTTTGTGTAGCTCTGGATTAGTGTAGCGTGTGACCTTTAGCACAACATAATTTCTGATCTCTCCCATCTATCCTGTTATGCCTGTTCCTCTGCTAACGAAGCAGAACAGCTTTGAGTACGGCAGGGACAGAGTGTGAAAAATCCTGTTAGATTGCCTTAATAATACCAAAGCTAAACATAATAAGAGCATGATATAGTGCCGGCTAACATCTTCAGATTAAAGACAGCTTGACAAATGTCGCCCCTGAAAAAAACTGAGGGGTGAAGTGCGGCAGAAAAAACAATCAGCCTTGGTACAAGCAGAGTCAGCAGTCTCTTTGAGGAGACAAACATGCTTACTCCAGACTTGATCTACACCAATAAGGTTTCTGTTGTTGGTTATTATCACACTCAACTGTCATTAAAACCAAGAACAGAAACTACGCTGATGCTAGAGATTCAGGGTAAAGGGGTCTCAAACTTAAAGCTGAAGTCCTTTGCACGATTTCAGTAGATTTCACTTGAAAAATCCATGATGACACATGCCCATACGCTCTAAAACTTTTAACAGAACAGCGGATTCTTACCAAAGCATGGAAAGAAGCAGTTTTCTGAAGTAAGAGCAAGTACAACAAGTACACACGTAGACTTCATCACCTGCTTCACATGCTATATACATGCAGAACCACAAGATGTCACGCTGGAGCTCAGCTGCTTCCAGTGGACTGCAGCCCAGCTCATTGCTAAATTCCCCCCAGGTGTCCTAAGAGCCAAAGCCTGGCCCCATAATTAAGCCCATGTCGTATGTCATTTATCGGAAGCCTGTTTCAGTTAAGTGCTATCGCATCAGCTGCACGAAGAACACCAATACAACTAGAGCAACCTATATCCAACACTCACATTGTAGCATACACTGAACTTGACTAGATTTGTTGTGATAGCAGGTCAGAGGGCAAGCATGAAATGAAGTATGAGGCATGGACTGTAACTTTACCTGTCTACTGTCGTGGCACTGTTCAGCTTGCAGCAGGTCACTATTGCAAAACAATGATTACAGTAACCAGCTGCAGACCAGCATATTGGGGTCGGAGACCGTACGACTATGTGACAAAAGACTCAGGAGGCGCAGATAAACAATCATCAAGGAGCTCCACAAAAGCGAAACGGTCAAAGCGCTAGCAGAAAAATACAAGACAGGAAGGGATATGGATAGCACAAAGTACTGGGCTTTAATATACATGGATGGCCTGCCCAAGTAAAGTCTATGTGTAGGAAACACTGTCCCAACATCACGATATGGGTCTGTCCGCGCTCTGTTTCACCATGTTTGTGTATCTACTAGAGATGGCACGATACCACTTTTTTATGTCCAATACC